TATGTCGCCGGTAGGGTAAAAAGATCCTTCCCGGGACGGGGGGGGGGGGGGCTGGCGGGGGCAGGTTCCCATCGTTGAAAGAAGGCAAATTGCCTTCCCTTCAATGAAGGGAGCGTGCCACCACTGCCGTGTGACTCCAGAGAGGGGGGATTTAAACTTTAAACTCCCTCAGTCTTTGGAGTCGCTCTGCAGAGGTGGCACGCTCCTTTCAGATGTTTCTGCCTGGCAGCATGGCCAGCGCTGGCCCCACTGTCATGCAAGAGTTTCTCCTGGGTTCCCTTTCTCTCCCCCTTCCCTATACCCCGCTTGGAGGTGAGACGATGGGAAATGAGGTGGGGAGGAGTTTACTTGTTACTCCCGGAACGCCGTTCCTGCCCGTCCTTGCTCGAAATGACCCCTGCTGACAGCACTTGTACACTTAAACGTTGTAAAAGGGGATGGGGCAATAAATTGGAGAGCTGAAGAATTTGATACAGTTTTTGTGTGTTCAATGTATTTGTAATCTGTGGTGTACAACTTTTAAGTTCCCTGCTTGCATAAAGTTCATGTACCAACTTTTGCTATTGACTGTTAATTGCTTTTTGGAAAGCAGTACAAATGGCATGCAGTACCACTGGAAAATATCTATAAATTGAGTTGCCTTAAAAGCACTCATAAAATCAAGGTGGATCATTCCAGTAATAGAAGCGTACCCTAGTACTGATAAACATCTATGGTGCAGAAAAGGCAGAAATCTGATGTAATAGTGTAAACAATCTCCTGTTCTGTAGACAAGTATCCCTCCAAGGCAATACTGGTATTACCGGAACAAGGATGATATCTTTTGCCAGGCTTTTTATCTTGCTATAAATTTAAGCTACTGTTTAGACCACAGAGACTTGATGTGAAAGGGGATATATTCTGTTAAATGTGAAAATACAGCTTCTGTAAAAACTTACTTTTCACAGGCATGGAAAGTTCATTATAGTATAGGAATAGGTGTAAAGGATATGAGCAAAAGTATCAGTGGTACACATTGTTGGGTATGTAGTTAGGCCTTGGAATCCCCTGGGTAATTTGCAGTCCTTTTGATATGAAGCTTCTCTCACAGAACAGACCTTGCCTCTCTGCCCCCAATCACACTGCAGCCATCAAGCTGCTCCTCCTGGGAGTTGGAGAACCCACAGGAATAGTGTGGGGTGTGACAGGATTTGCAGTGACAATTGGCTAAATCTTACTCTGCAATGATACTGCAAACAAACAAGGAGCCATTGACTCATGCATTCAGCTTGTGGTGCTCTACAATTTGCAAAAGTACTGTAGGAAACCTCTTCTGGCCCACTACTTTTCTATTCTTTGCTAGGGGCAAAAGGAGAAGGGGGTCCCATGATATTGTTACAGCAAGATTACCCAAAACTGAGAAAACTGTATATTATGGTTTCAACTGTGTTATGGAAATAAAATCCTTATTGTTTTTAAGTGAGAAAAGCAGCTCTCTCTCAAATGTTTACTGGAATGGTGTTGTAGACTTTTTTGGTGGTTGTTTGACTTGTGGAGCCTATCAACAATGCTAGCTGTGGACTAGAGGCCG